TTTGTGCAGAATATCAGTATGAGAAAACGACACCCTCTGTCCTTAGACCCTCACATCGTACAAGGAAAAACCTCCGGAGAAAAATCCACAGTTTAAAGGGGAACATGGGAGAAACCTCAGGTTGTATTTCTGCAGCTCTAAAACATCCACAGTTTTTATGGAGAACGGGAAAAAGGGAAGTAGTGTGATGAGAGTCAGGCAGGACCACAGCAACAGGTTCAGCCACGACTCGAAGTCCAGGACTCAAATCGAGAACTCAGGATAGAGGATCCAGGACTCAGGATGCAGGATGCAGGATCCAGGATGCAGGATCCAGGACACATGACCGCAGCAACAGGATCAGCCACGACTCAAGATCCCTGCGTAGATAGACACCACATTATTTTTGGGGGAAGCTGGGTTATTCGGAACATGAGAGTACACAGGTACAGACAGAAGGAAGAAGTAAGGTGTCTCCCGACAGTCTGCCTATAGCAGCAAAACTAACGTGTCTACGTGCATGGACTCCCTTAGGGTAGGTTGAGGGAAAGGGGTTGCAAGTAAGAAGTAAGGAACAGAGGTGGAGAGGCACAACATGTCTACGTAGATGCACTCCCTTAGGATAGGTTGAGGGAAAAGGGTAGGAACTGAGATGTATGCGCCACATCTGTACCATGAGCGCATTGCTCCTAAAACGTTTTTCTGGCACTGACACCAATCAACAGTGACTTTGATCCTACACCTCAGCTTCTCTCACAGTTTCTTTTTCTATGTTTTTTCCTCTCACATCAGGTCACTGGTCCGGTCTAAATTATTCCCTGAGCTGGAGAACCGAACCCCAGAAGAGCCCCCTGTGGAGATCAAGGACCCTCTTCCTGAGAAGCTGCGTAACTCTGTGGTAAAGATCAGCGCTCACTCGCCCACACACACACACACACACACACACACACACACACACACACACACACACACACACACACACACACACACACACTGCAGTTGGATAGTTTCCCCGTCTGTTTTTCCAGACCTGTGCCTTCTCACTGTCTCTTTGTAGAAAGAGATTCTTCACTCAGACCTCGTCATGTGTCTCCTCATGGCTGTGATCACCTTCGCCATCAGTGCCAGCACAGTGTTCATCGCTCTTCAAGTGAGTTTGAACAGAACTCATGATCCTTCACTTAATACACATTTCTTCTTTTTGTGAAAAAAGTGAACGCATCTTTCATCTGCTCCTGCTAATTCATCTCTTTTGACTTTGATCCACAGCCGGCTCTCAGCGTTGTCTTGTACATCCTGGCAGGAGTGGTAGGCTTCATTACTCACTATCTCCTGCCTCAGCTCCGTAAGCAGCTGCCGTGGTTCTGCCTGGCTCACCCTGTGCTCCGCTCCAGAGAGTACAGTCAGTTTGAAGTCCGAGGTCAGTGTTTGATTGCTCTCTTATCCACGCTCACACACACAGAAAGAAGCAGAGGGAACTATCTTAAAAGTATAAGAATAAACCCTACTATATGATCAGTCGTAACTCAAAGTGTCCCCACAGGAAAAAAGCTGCATGGAGCAAATGAAAAACAGCAAGATTTCTATTTCAAAAAACCACCTAACCTCAATTGTCTGTAGGGGAGCTTCATAGATTGCTGAGTCATTATCTTGAAACTATAAAAACAGCTGAATATCCCGAACAGCGCTGATAAACTGCTGAACAGATCAGTAATATCAATAATACTAAGTAGCTGAATTATAATTGTAAGACATGCAATAGACGCACAGCATTAGGTGAAGAAGGTAATGTGTTTTTAGGTGTGTAATATTTGATGTTTTGCTCCGTCCCAGATGCTGCCCAGTTGATGTGGTTTGAGAAGCTGTATGCCTGGCTTCAGTGTGTGGAGAAATATGTCATCTACCCAGCTGTGGTGCTTAACTCCCTGACGACAGAAGCTCGAGCTGTGGGACAGAACCACAAAGAGCTGGACATCTAGTAAGCCTTTCCGCATTCTGTCTGCTAACTTGTTCACACCCATTCATCATACCTTTCCATCTCTGCCCCCCCGGGGGGTATGTGCTGTTCTCTGTCTGTGTGCTAGAACATCAAAACGAGTTGAGACGCTGTACCGGCACACGGGTGTATCACTTCCTGCAGGTTGTGCTCGGAAGCACAAGATACAACTAAAATACATTCTCTCACTGGTTTCCTTTTTCCTTCCCATCTTCACCTTGTACACCAGTCTGTATTGTATAGATGTCAGTCTATGTAATGGTGGTTCCATTTTCCAGTTAATGTAGCATACGTGTTCTGATCTCCCCTCTCTCCCTCTCTCGAACCCCCCAGCAGTCGAGCTCTCTTCATCTCAGTTGCCGGCATGAAGCTGATGCGCTCGTCGTTCTGCGCCCCGTCGCAGCAGTACGTCACGCTGTGCTTCACCACACTGTTCTTCCGATTCGACTATCCACACTTCTCAGAGACCTTCCTAATCGACTACTACTTCATGTCCATTCTCTTCAGCAAGGTCAGGATCATGCGTGCAAATTAGTCGCTTATCGCCGTCTCATGGTTTTTTAACGCTGATTTGGGTGACTTGTGCAATTTGTGGAGAACCGAAGAGTTTTCGTTTTGGGGGGGGACAACTTCTCACTTCAAAAAATGTTTAAGAAATCTAGACCGTAAAATAATTAAACAAGCGAGTGCCTGTTTCTCCTAGCCAAGGGCAGGTTCCTTGAACACAACACGAGCGTAACGTGTCAACACGTGGTGTAGTGCTGACGGAGAGCATCGGAACCATAGATCGGAACGCAGCTCCAGCACTTCAAATATTGCACTACCCATAAGGAGCCGTACACACCGCAGTGTTTGCGTGGCTGTGTCTTTAGTTGTAAGCCCAGTGGCGATCTGTTGTTATTAGCATCTGGTTAGCTAGCTATGCTAACGAATTTAAAGAGCGTCAAAAAAAATAGGGTTAGGCACACCTTGATATAGTCATTATAGTTATACAAAAAATAAGAGGCTAAATGAAAAACAGGTATAAAATACTTATACGACAGTAAACAAAAAAGTTATTTAAAATAACAAAGAATACAGTTTGGAAAGGGGAGTGATTTGTGAAATTATCCATAAAGAAAAAGAAATCTGCTTACAGTTGTGTTTCATATGGGTGTTGAGAGAAATGTATCCATAGGTTCCTAATGTGCTCCCAGTGCAGCAGATTGATGCTTTTAACTTCAACATTTAAAAACAAATCTTCCCGAGAGGAGTTAGATCCACGCCCCACTTATATGCATGTCCCAACATGGATAGGAAAACTAAAGACCATTTGCACACATCTTGTGGTGTCTAATCTTTCTGTTTGGTGGTCATGCCACAACCGTGGCACGTGGGCATGCATACGTGAGGTCATGGAAAGATATCTGGTTAAAGAGGTTGGCTTTTTTCTTTGCACAGCGCATGAAAGAAAGGCCAAATGACAATGGGCTGTGATTTTGTATACTTTTTTAAGCAGAGGTTGAGTTCAATAATTAGTACGGCCCTCGCAGGGATGTGTAAAAATGTTAAATGGCCCCTTGAGAGGAAAAAGGTTCCCCACTCCTGCTGTAATTAATAATAAAAACCCTTTGATTTATAACTTGAACATCTCTGTCCGTTCAGCTATTGACCTGAGTATTTTCATACAGAATAGCCAGTTAAGTGGAAGATTATACACACGGTTTGTCAGAATGGTAAATTACGCTGTTTTTTTCTTAAGAAATTTCATGGCTCATTCTGTTATATGATTATTTGTATTCGACTCTAGAAGCATTATTTTTCATATTAGGCATCTTTCAAAAGAAGACGCTGCTGTCTGTGTCAGTGCTGTGCATAGGTACATTTGTAGAGTTTGCATTTTTAAAGTCTTTGTAACTTGTCAGATGTGGATCTGCTGATACAAGCTGCGCTTCGTGTTCGAACTACAATCGCCCTGGCAGATAACCCTGGAGGCTCAGCCTTCCACTGCCTACGCACAACCTTCGCCATGTTCCCCGTATCCTTTTCTCACCTTTTGAGTTTATCGTCAATGGTAATCAGGCTTGTTGTTTGACGGTCATTACAAACTGCAAAAGTCATGGAAATCAATAATGCAAATTCCAGTCCTGGAAAATGTGTGGAAAACCAATATTTTTCTATAATAATCAAGTATAGAGTAATACTATCAAGGATCGTATAGTATACTGTACGTGGTCGAGGAAAAGAGTTGAATAGCTGCACAATTATCGCATTGAACGGGCGGTAATGATATGGTTTGATCACATTGCGTTACATATCTAACACATACGGGTCAGATACGGGCAGCGCATGAACCGCCATCAACCGCATGCATCAGTTCCAGCAGGCCAAGAAGTAGATGGAGCCGGAGTATCAGCTGCTGACCGAGAATAGGGATGTCGCGGCCACCTTGAGTTCTACATGAGGTGAACGAGTCAAGCATCATCAAAGCCCCTTTACTGTCACATACGCACAGTAAAGCACACTGAAAGGCATTTGAGTAAACCCACTTGATGTCGTTTTAACAGTCCACATGTGCCCGCTGAGTAAAGAGATTCCGAAAGACTCAGAAACAAGATTCTCTCAAAACTCTGTCCTGATCGTAGATATCCGCGGTCGCTCAGTCAGTAGGGGCTTGGACTGTGAGCCGTAATCGTCGCTTCAAGTCCCCCGCCAGACCTAAATATGGAGCGTGCTACTTGTAGAGGTCCGTTCCAGTCTGCTCCTGCCTGCTTGTGCCTGCATGTGTGACCTGTAGGAGTCTCATCCCTCCCAATTATATTCTATAAAAACCTGTTCTGAAAATGAGCTGATCAGATTGTGGCCACTTTATGATGTCATAAGGTTTTTTGGCTTGTGTAACCATTTAGCAGGGTTCCCACGGTCATTAAAAACTAAACATGCATCAAAAATGCGAAATTCAAAATGCTAATTCCAGGCCCTGGAAAAGTTATGGAAAATAATATTTTCCCCCAAAGTTTTGGAAAAGTCATGGAAATGTAACTAAAGTTGCATCACAAATATAATTTATTATTGTTTAATCGCCGAAATAGTAATACTATAATGATAATAAATACTGTTTGTCAGTCGTATAGTAAATGAAACGTAAAATGGCATTTAACTGTCGAGGTATTTTGCTGGTGAGAGATTTTAGTTGCTTTAGTCTGTAGAAGCTAGTAAGCCTATTGGATTTGTTGGATAGGCACAACATGTTTCAGACCCTTATTTTCCCTGTTTCATGTTAAAAATAAACCATTTTCAGTGGTACCGCAGAGAAAGAGTAATGTTTTTGGTCATGGAAAATTAGGTAAAGGCTCCTGGAGAAGTCATTGAAAATCGTGGTGAAAAAGTGTATGAACCCTGCATTACGCAATCAGCAACCAAGGTAACCCCCCCTTATCATCTGATCCCCTCCTCGAGCTCCATTGAGTTTCTTGTAACCATGGTCTCTCAGAGGGGCGTGGGAGGGGCTCCTTATTTTCATCTAAAGTAACAGACAGAGAATCAGCAACTTTTTGAAACAGGGCTGAAACAGAGGGATTATGGGTAATGCTTCAATGATCAGTTTGGTGTTTCAGCCAATCAGAGACAGGCTCTGTATATATCTGAGAGCTATAATGTATTGATGAAAAACAGTATAATAGGGGACCCTTAATATATGTGTTGTGGCATCAACACACTAGACAAAGCATGCTGTTCTGTCACATGTGCACAACACTGCCTGCTAAAACGGTGTAATTACAGATGTATGGTCCATCAGCTAGACCAGTGGTTCCCAACCTGGGGGGCGCGGGGGGCGCCAAAGATCGCAGGGGGGGGCGCCAGGCCTCAGATGATTTGAGGCCAAATATCATATTTAGACTTTTATTTATTTATTTATTTTTTTTTACATATAATTGTAAAGCAATACATGATTGTCACTAAAAGCCTTGTCTCTACATTACAATAACATATACAAAATAATTGATTAATTAATTTGAATACAAATTCAAGTTAGTAGCTAATAAAGGCATAAAAAGACAGAAATGTATAATTCTTTTGGGGGGCTCTTGGGAAAAAAGGTTGGGAACCACTGAGCAAGACAAATTTTATTCCACGTGTCACCAGCATGTCATTATTCGTGTTCTTGTTCTTCTTTTTCATCGTCTTCTTCTATTCGACTCAAACTGAAGAAGATGCGCTCTCTAAACGTAACAGTACACATTCACAAATAATGAAATCAAGTCCAATCTAGACGTATAATATTACACTTGGGTTCAAATGTCAATAGAAAGCCTTCTTGTCCATTATTATTACTGTACTTTTAATGCACTAATATTCAAAGCTAAATCATCCTTTAGGGAAAGAATAAGAATATCTTTTTTTTCGTACAAACCTCGTAATAGATAAATAAAGAAATGGGTTTGTGTATATGTACGAGAAAGTGGACGGTCATGTGACTGTCAATGTCATATCAAGAGGGGAAACCAAGTCCAGGAGAAGACCCTCATATCAGGCCTCAGCATTATATAACCTCTTTACACTTCAAACTACATTTCGTTCTCTCTCAAAGGAATAGGACCTCTTATTCTATTTCTGTCACATGTGCAGTCAAACGCTGCAGGACGAGTCTCCGGGCAGTTCAGGCTTTAAATGAAACTCATGCATGGACCCTTCACCCCGCTCACATTTCTGAGAAAAACATTTTCATTTCTTCTGATCTTTTAAGTCCCAACAATGTGACCTTTCTGCTCTCTCCTTCCTTCTTAGTGTATTTGAGTGTCCAAAACAGCACCAGTATGTTTCCAATATGTAATCCAGCGTATGCAAGCTCTTCTGCTCATAGTATATTATTCATAATTGAATTGGAAACTCTCTTCTTTGCACACTATTAGACCTCCCTCTTTCCACCTTTCTTGCTCCTCTCTCCCCCTCACTGTCTCATCCTCCTCCCTGTTGAAAACCTCTCTTAGATAATAATTTTCTTTCCAGCGTGCATGAAAATAACTCGGATATCTACTCAGCTCAATGTCATGTAATATCTTCGAAGCTTTGTTTTCCTCGTTGGAGCAATGTGACGTTTCTGCTTCCCAGTACATGCCTTTTCTTTCCTTCTTGATGTATTTTAGTGTCCAAACAACACAGATTTGAGGAAGTTGTTCCCAGTATGTAATCCAGCAGATGACATATTATTTTCCAATTCTTCTACCCTCGTCTTTGCACTTTTAGACCTCCCTTCTTTCCACCTTTCTTTCTCCTCTCCCCCCCTCATTGTCTCATCATCCTCCCTGTTGAAAACCTCTCATTATCTTCATAGCATGCATAGAAAACCTCAGAAATCTTCCACGCTTTGTTTCCCTCGTATCTTTTATACTATTACGTTTAAATATCAGCCTGTCGTTGGTAATAAAGGAAACACACAGATATCAGAATACCTTTATTAGTCCCACAGAGGGGACATTTGCATCTTTACAGCAGGAAAGAGTCACAGACAGCTTAATGTTACATATGTTAAAAAAAAGTATTAAGTTATGATATAATAAAAAATATAATAAATAAAATTTAAAAAAAAAACTTTTCGAAATACAAATCCTGTAACAGTTCTTAGGATTTAGCAGCCAGGTATATACTACACAGTTATTAATGGCATGTGTATATATTGCACATATAGCACATATTGCACATAGTTTGATGGTATTTAACATCAGCAAGTTACACAATTTACAAAATTCAAAATGCAAAAAACACACCTTGTAACGATACTAAGGATTTAGCAGCCAGGTATAAATTACACAGTTATTAACGGCATCTATATATTGAGATATATTTGAGATACTCTGTGTGGTTTGGAGTGTGTATTCATTAACAGAATACATTCCCAGGTCCTGCTGCAGCAACGACCTTTAACCTCTAACTAAGTTATGGATGATTTGCTGTTTATCATTAATCCGGTAAACAGAGCATGGAGGAGGAGTCTTATCAGACAGAGATCTTATTCAGAGCTGCTTTAATAACATAACATCATTCCTGGGGAAACAGCACGTGTTTCTGAGAGATATAAACACTGTCACTTTTCAAATTGATAGTCATCATGGCTTATGTATTTTTGTTTGATTCAAACAGCATGCACTGGACTATATTTACTATAAGCGTGACTGGAAATCTACTTAAAAAGAGGTGCATTTGACCTAAAAGACATTGTCTGCCTTTAAGCAACAGACACAGTTCAACTGACTGTAAGAGAGAAACACAAGAGACTGTGATTGATTGTTCAGGAACGTAACATAAATATCACTCGTCAAACAGTCGGAGCCAACGAGTCTTTGAAGGAAAACAAGCAACGCTTTCAAAGCAAGTGTCCGAGGTATGATTGAGATCGCACGTCAGTTTCTCCAGAGGGAGAGGCAGTGGATAAAAGAAATATTGACAGATTTAGTGTTTGTTTAATAGAAGTGTGGTATAACAAGTAAAAAGAAGGAGTTACAGGTGTTTCCTCGTCACAGAAAGGACTTCTTTCCACTTCTAGATGCATCACAGGACCAACAGCCGCTTTCACACCAAGTACTTTGCCGTTCTTAGTACCCAACACTTAGTTCCCAGCACTTAGTTCCCAGCACTTAGTACCCCCATGGAGCTAAAGAGCCGATCGCGTTCACATCGGAGTAAGTTCCCTCAGGGAAGAATACGCCAACAAAGCCGCTGACGTAGGGCTGTTCAATTAATCATATTTTAATCGCAATTACGATTTTGGCTTGCAACGATTATGAAAACAACGTAATCGAAATAAAACGATTATTTTTTTATTTTTTATTTTTTTTTATTGGTTTTTCAGTTGAATTATACTTAACGTTCAGGGTAATCAACTGGTAAAAACATACTGTTCACATTTTTCTTTTCAATAAATAGATGTTTTCGAAGTAAATGGATACTCGTTTTTAATAATCGTGATATCAATTATTGACCCAAATAATCGAGATTATGATTTTTGCCATAATCGAGCAGCCCTACGCTGACTTCACTTCTTCTTCTTATGCTTTGTGTTTACTGGCAGGCCGCAAACCACTTCACGGCATATACTGCCACCCGAAGTCCCCGGCAGGAAGTCC